AATATTTAAGCTTGTGTGACTGATTTATTGCACTTAACATTGTGGTCTCAAGGTGCATCCATTTGTCTACAGATGACTCAAGTTTATCCTTTTTGGCAGAGTAATACTCCATTGTGTATAAACACCACATTTTCTTCTTCCATTTGTCTGTTGGTGGACATAGGTCACTCTTATGATACAGCTATTATGAACTGTGCTGTGATAAGCCTGGGTATGCATATGTCATTTTAATATATTTTTAACTCTTAGTAAGATACCTAGAAGACAAATAGCAAATGAAATTCTATTCGGTTCAAATGAAATTTCTTTTAAGTTTTTTTTGTTGTTGTCATTTGTTTGTTTGTTTGTTTAGAGACAAGGTCTCACTATGTAGCTCAGGTTGGTCTTGAACTCACTATGTAGTCCAGGATGGCCTTGACTTCAGTTATCCTCCTGCCTCAGCTTCCTGTGTGCTGGGATTATAGATGTGTACTACGGTGCCTGGCTATTAGTCATGGATCTTGAGTCCCTGTTCTTGGCTGATCAATTAATCTGAAAAGAATTTGCACTATGTAAATATTTTAGGATTAGGGTTATCTGTATACACTGAAATTAAATAGTTCTGTTACAGTTAATCTGAGTCATTAAGAATGCTGGCCAGCACTTGTTTTGTTTGGATGCTGTGGTTATTTTAGTTTAAAAGCACTTTTTCCAGAGCTGCCTCTTTTCACAACAGTGGAGCACTGGCAATGAATTGAGTGGCCCAGGATCTGATGAAATTGTGGCCAACTTCTGGTCTCCATCTGGAATTTAAGACAAATTAATGATTTAAGACTGTTTACTCCTAAATTTTAGCATACTATTCTTTTATCATACATAATAACAAATCATTTTTAAGATTTAGAGCAAAGGGATGTATTTAAAATATGGCGAAAAAGACAAGTAGTCCAAAGGTCATTTCTTTGGTTCAGTCTCCAACTGAAAGGCCTTATTTCATTAAGCCAAAGTAGAAATGAATCACATACATTTGCATTTGATGTCTTAATTCTAGATCCCCAAATCCTTTCAGTCCTTATATAATCAATGGGCTACTTTGTATCATCATTGTATCAAACTCAGTTATTGCCATCCCTCAATTCAGATCAATTGGTATTTTCTCCTGTCTCGTAACTTCTTGTCTAAAATCACTAACATTGCCTTATCTAAAGGTAAGGGGAAAAAGTAAGTAAATGAAGGGTTCAAGGAAGGCTCGGGTTGACCACAACGATCAATGAAGGAAAGACCAAGGTGTTTCCACTGTAGCAAAGCTTTAACTTCCTGAAGCTTTGTGATTTCCTTCCATTAACCCTAATAATCTCAGCAGCCCTCAGTAATCCGCAGGTATTATCACCACCTCGAGGAGATTAATTTGTCCATGTTTACTCATATGAGACACAGCCCAGTTTCACCCACAATTCTCGGGCTCCATTGTCCCTCATCTGGGAACCGCTGGTTCCACGTTAGTACCTCAACAACATTTAAAGGAAGCATTTCTTGATCTAAAGAATGGTAAGAGATTTCAGTAGCCCAGGAAATATGACTAGAAATAGTACATTTGAAGGATTTTTACAATTATATTTTATTTAATTGCAATCTCATCCGTAGTTAGTAACCATCTGATTTCTGAAGGCTGATTATCCACTCAAATAACAATTATAGCCTTTTTGAGAATATTATTGTATTTTAGGCAAATAAAGTAGGATCAAGATATGAGAAATTCTAATCAACAGCTCCTAGTGATCTTTGCTGTAAGATTTATAACAGGGACAAATCATACACATACCTCACTCAACAATAAATGTCCTAAGTATAATGAATGTTATAGTCTCAAAATGCTACACAGATGGGAGATAAAATAATACACATGGGAGATTACAGGTGAAATCCCTCTTTTTTTTCCATAATTTTAGTGAGAAATAAGTAGCAATGAGATAGTTTCAAACCAAATTGGAAGGACAGTTCCAATAATTAACACATTGCATACTGCCTTCCTAGTGGTTATTTGTTGTACAAGATGCAGACATGATATCGTATTTACAAACACTATTAGAACAAATCCCTCTTCCTTGAATTAAGAGAATGTAGCTATATGTCTATCCTAGCCGTTTTGAATACACAGATACAAAATGGTCATTCATCTGTATCCCCTTTTTTTGTTTAGTTCCATCATTTAAATATTATATGTGTGTGAACTCAGCAAAATATTCCAGAATAGTCCAGAAGTCCCTAATGTATTGGGTCTTCCACTTGACTGGCAATGTCAGAAGTTTTTGTTTGTTTGGGTTTTTTTGTTTTTGTTTTTTGCGGAACTAGGGATTGAACTCAGACCCTTGCACTTGCCAGGGAAGCACTTACTGTACTGAGCCATCTCCCCGGTCACCCAGAAGTTGTTGACCTGAGTCCCCTACAGCTCAACGTAACAATATGGCTTTATTTCTTATACTTCGTTTTTATACTTTTCTGCTGGATGATTAAGACCAAGATAAAGCAAGACCTATATAATAAGAATTGTAGCTTTTGGATCTGATAAGGTCAGTGAAATCCCCTCAGGATTTATCCTGAGACCCTGTGCCTCAGATTGTAGATCCTTTGTCAGTGTCAGCCATGTGGATGAGTCA